TATACCGAGTTCAGAGCAAGCATGCTAAGACTAAAAATAGTACAATTATAGTTGAGATGACATCAGCTATTCTGAAGACCGATTTCTTAAAGAAGTTTAGTGATTATAATAGAACACATAACGAAAAATCATACGCCAAGCATCTCGGATTTAAGACGGAAGAATACACTCCAATAGATATATATCTTGGAACAGTTAACCGCAAAAGGAGCTCGACTTCACATTCTGGCGCGTGATCTGGCAAAATCCAAAGGATATAATTATCTACTGCTGGACAGCCTATGGCAAGGTACATTGATGTGTATTCTTGATAGAAGAATGACAACTTTGCTACTATTATCATAACAAGTGAGTTACTGGTCCATAATCTTTTACAACTTAAATGACTAGATGTTATATTATTGTTGATCATTTCTCATACCATACTTTGCTCTGTTGTTACCCCTATTTGTCTTAGGCCCACGTGAACTTTAGATACTTAAAATTAATTAGCGCTAGGATAAATATTATGCTTAATATCAAGTTAAACATTAACGAATACTATGTAATATTACTGATGATCATTTGTTGTACTCACCATATTTTACGCTGTTGTTACGCCTATTTTCTGGATTTTATAGGGGCTTTAGATATTTAAAATTAAATAGTATTAGCGTTAATAAGAAGCTTATTATCAAGTTAAATATTAACTTATACTCTGTTAACATTTTGCGCACTCACACACATTTTCCACTCAATTTTACACTTATTCACGCTATCATGTCCACAACAAACACACACACACACACACAGAAACGCGTGCATGTGCGTTCAAAACTCCACTCACATATATCACACAAGTGCGCTTTATCCTTTTTGTATATTGTACTTTCTTTTCTTTTTTTTTGGTTCCAATTGCATACACTGTATCATGTTAAGTGGAAGAGCGGAGTCACCTAACACAAGCATCTCTTTGCCTAAAAGGTGATCTCCAAACCCTGTAACTTAAGCTTTATATAATTGAAATAAATATTTTTATTTATTTTTTTATTTACGCATCTGGAGTAGTCCTACAATGGAGGACGGATTACAGAGCTACTGAAGGACATCAAGTACTGGTTTTTCATCCGTTTTCAGAAGCTCCGCTGTAATTCCACCCACGCCCGGGGCCTTGCCGTATTTAAGGTGACAAAGACCAATTCTAATCTCGCTAAAATGACGTCCGCGACATCTTCGGAATGGTGTCGGATAAGACTTGCTTTTAGATCGTTACTCACACTTGCGTGTGCCTCCAACGATGACGTTTAAAGCTGCCCGTAGAACCTCTCAATCTCACTCAAAATCTTTGGTGTCAAAAAAACGATGCTAGATGCTGGAGTCATTCAGTACCAAAACTAAATCTCCCCAAAGAAGTAGCAGTATTTCAACATATTCAGGATCGTCCCAACCATTATATCAGGTTTGATAGACCGCAAATCCTCGCAAAAGAACACCGATTCCTACCAAGGATGATTCGCGAGGCTATTGAAATCAAAAAAACATCCTAATTTCAATAGAGGATATTGCTGACTGCTACCATCTGCTTTGGATCCCATAATTAATAAAATTAAATCCAAACCCAAGGATACTACTGCAAGAGTTCAATATACTGTAAGGTCGTTCTGCGTAGATCGGGCCAAAAATCAATAATTAAAAGTTGAAGGTAGCCTTCGTTAACTATGACATCAAGACGTCGAACACCTCACCCCTCCCGTTCTCCTCGTGGTCATGGGTGCTGTAAAGTTCCCGAAATGTCGGGAATTAGATAAGTTAAAATAAACGTGATAAAATCCATAAAATTAGTTTTATACTATGTGTAGTATTCACGTAAATATAATAAATCATTATAAATCGTCATAATGACGTCAATCTCATTTTTTATCGTCCGCCGGGGCTCAACCAGGTCCATTTTCAATGGGACCGCTTTTAGAAGAAAGAGTTCATCATAAAGAGTCCCTCTTTCTCCCTGAAGTCGGTCAGCTGCTGGCTCCTTGGGTTCCGTTGCCGATTATCTCCACCTTCAGCTCACCATTCTCTTGTGCCTAGTTTTGCGTTGAAGTCTCCCATTAACATCTTATAATGGGATTGAGAAGAGTGCATGGCTCTAGAGCTCTTCATACATTACCTCCACTTCCTCATCAGAATGTGCCAAGGTTGATGCATAAACTTGTATGGCCAGGAAAAACCAAATCCGTTTGGTAATTCTGAGTATAAGGTACACAACCCTCGTCGACACACTCCCAATCTTTCCAATGTTGTTGACGAGAGAGTTGTGGGTGATAAATCCGACACCTCCTAGGGACAGACCGCTGGAGGACGTCTCTTTTTAGCTTTCGCCATGGGAGTACATTGCTAAAGTTGCCACGCTTGGTGAGCTGGTTGGCAACCGCAGTTTCTTTTATTATAATTTTGCTGTTATCAGAAAGATGCTGCTACCCATCTCCTGCCTCAATTTCTCTCTGTCGCCTCTTACGACACCCACAGGAAGATATAGGGTAGTGGATATTCTTAATTAGCACTACACGGCTAACGGTTAACTTTAAAAATACATGTTAACTTTCAAATATAAAAGGGTGGTTCAGAAAGAGATGAAAATAGAGTTAGCGATTTAACAGGCGTTTTTAAATACTGCATTAGTGCTACATTCTTTCACCAAATAAAGTAGGTACCCAATAAGTCAGATTGTTGTAGATTTTCTTTTCTTTACTAAGTCAGTTTTAAAAGTAGGCAGAGCTAATTTGTGCTTATCGTACAATATCGATGTGACCTCTATCAAAGAGTCACATTGATATAAGTATAAAAACTAGTACAAACATGAATCGGAAAAGAGGACAAAGATCGGTATAAACGACGTTCAGGACTGTCGCTAGAGGAGTTGGGATCTGAACAGGTGCCAAGCTTCATACCAGTTACTACAGATCCTTTGATTTAGGATCTATAGACATTTCCAACGTTCTTGGAACTCCGGCAAAGCCCGGACTTCGTTTGTACCGAACTTTGCCCCTATTCACAATTATGTATTTCGAGGGATATAATTAGGTTTGAAAAAAAGTTTTATCCTATCATTAACCCAAATGAACGCATAACCTTAAAAGTTTTTTTCTTGGGTACGCTTCACCGTTATCTATTTTTAACTTTAACAATGAGAATTTAATGTCGACAAGGTATTGGTTAGTTTCAAGTATAGCACTGGAAGATAACCATACCAATAACTTTTTTATTAGGCGCTCACAATGGTAAAAAGGTTAAAATTTAGATTATTAGTAATAATCAAAATTTTAAGTTTCCAAATACTCAAATGCTGCTCAATTTTAAGATGTCGTTAAGTCTCGTGCTGTCTTTGTCACTTTTAGTAATACTGATTGTGACAGCACGAGACTTAACAACATCTTAAAATTAAGTAGCGTTTGAGTATTCGGCCTTAAGTCGCCTGAAAGTGGTCTAGGATTTTATTATATATTTGAATCAGTGAATGAAATTGCAAAATTTATTGGTCTTTATTTACTTTATAAGTAAAGTGTGTCGGACAAAGTTGTTTTATTAGCACGATCATAAAAATGAAACTTATGCATTTGTACATTTCACATGTTGTGCATGACTTATAGTCGCATGATTTTGTTTTACTTTTCTCATAAAATTTCAACATTGTTGGGAAAATCAAAAACAATCTTTTAAGAAAATAGTTGTGCACATTAAACGCGAAGCGCGAGAGGTCTAACTTTACTGGCGGCTTATCAAGGTCACATTATCCGCTCTCATTAAATTTTGTATATTTATATGTAAATAGTGCCCGCCCCGACTTCGCATGGGTGATTTCTTGATCTCGTCAACAGCACCACCTACCGGGTCCAATTATGAATCTAAACCATCCAAAGACCTACTCAAACGCACACAGAAAATTTGTGTGCGTTGATGTGCTAAGTTCACTCTAAGCATCCCTTTATGTACAGCTGTGAAGATGTGAAGGGTTGTAATAATAATGACGATGATGATGATGATGATGAAAATGATAAGCGATTAATATCGTTTCTTTTTTTTTATAGTATAGGCTGACAAATGAGCACACAGTTCACCTGATGGTAAGTGGTTGCGGTGGCCCATAGACATCTACATCTACCCTCGCTTGCGAATCAAATAGCAGATGCGTTGTCACCCGTGAGGACTAAGATGGAATGACTCTTTTCCAGTAAAAAGGGTCTCCGGTTCTCTACACTCACCATACGAAACACAGCAGCTTTAAGCTGCTATTTTACGCTGGTATTCTGTGAGAGCGTGCTCCTTTCCCGGTCGAGTCGACCCATTCGTGCTACAAGTATACTACTGCTGCATGGCTCTACCACGTATAAAATCGTATCACAATACACACAATTAAAAATATATATATTTAATACTTTTATAATTTATAATACCGATATATCAGAAAAGTAATAAATTCAGTTATTATGATACCTAAAAACGTTTGCCCTGCATTGAACCATAGCAGTAACACTCTAATCAGTATACAATTATTGATATGATGTGCTCCAGACCGAATTTCGGTCACGACGGCGAGCCTCAACGGAAACTAGAGATAACATGCACAGTTGCACTCTCTATTCCCTTACTCTCATAGTCCGATGGTACGGTAAATCGCCACGACCGAAGAGAGATTAGGCGCAGAACCAACGACTTTACGTGCTTTCCGAGGCACGATGGTGAGACACCGCCAACTTCCTGACTCCGGGCAGCTATTGAGAATTTCTTGACGAATAAACTCAATAACTGATTTCTTTGCCCGACCCGGGATTCGAACCTGAGACCTCATGATCAGCAGTTGCATTTACAACCACTAAACCAACGAGGCCGTATTGAGATAAATAGTTTTAAAGTCGGGAACCGTGATTCATTACGCTGTTGAAACGAGGCAATAAACTACATTCCGCTGTTTGATTCGAGTCGTATCGTAGCGCGGTTAGTTATCAGCTGACGCTAGGAAAGGCAACATGTTATTATTTATAGTGATAGTGTTTATTATACTTCTTTACGTGTACACAACCCGCAACCACAATTATTGGTCAAAAAGAAACGTAAAACATGATCCACCAATACCCTTATTTGGGAATCACTTTCGTAACGTTTTCGGAATCAAAAGTATGGTGGAGCTGTCCACTGAGCTGTATAATAAATATTATGAAGAGAAAGTCGTTGGATATTACCGAGGTGCGACGCCAGAACTAATTATTAAGGATTTGGATATAGCGAGAGACATTTTGTGTGTAGATTTCGGTTACTTTTATCCAAGAGGTCTTGGAAGAGACCCTAAACATCAAACTTTGTTTAACAACCTTTTTCACGCTGATGGCGATACTTGGAAACTGCTACGTCAGAGAATGACAGCAGCTTTCACCACTGCGAAATTGAAAAACATGTTTCCGCTTATAGTAAAGTGTGCTGAAACGTTGCAAGTTGTGGGAGAAGATATCGCGGCACGCGGCGGGAACTGCGATGTGCGCGAACTGATGGCTCGCTTTACTACGGATTTTATCGGTGCTTGTGGTTTTGGCATCGAAATGGACACCATCAACACCGAGCACTCCCTCTATAGAAACTTAGGGAAAAAAATCTTTGCCCGTTCCTTCAGAAACATAGTCATGGTCGGCTTATGGGAACTTTTTCCCGAAATCAGAAGTTTGTTGTATTTCGATGATATGCTTATCAACAAGACGATTACTGAGATTGTAAAAAAAATCCGGGAGCATAGAAACTATAAGCCGTCTGAGAGAAACGACTTTATCGATCTACTATTGGAACTTGAAGCCATGGGTAAAATTGTAGGTGAATCTATAGAAAAAGTTAATCCAGATGGTTCACCAGTGCAAGTTGAGATGGAAATGGACCTTAACTGTATGGTGGCACAGGTCTTCGTTTTCTTCGCAGCTGGATTTGAAACGTCATCGTCGTCTACCAGCTATACACTGCACGAACTGGCGTTTCATCCAGAGATTCAGCATACAATTCAAATGGAGATTGACCGGGTGCTGCAGAAATACGATAACAAACTGTGTTACGATGCAATTTCCGAGATGTCGTACTTAAGTATGGCCTTCAAGGAATCATTACGAAAGTTCCCCTCTCTCGGTGTACTAAACAGAGTGTGCGCGAAACGATACAAAATATCAAAGCTAGATATAACTATAGACCCAGGAGTAAAAGTAATAATCCCCGTACAAACGATACAAAACGACGCGAAATACTATGATAACCCGGAACAATTTCGCCCTGAAAGGTTTTCTCTACAAGCAGAGAAGCAAAGAAGCAACTTCGAATATATGCCATTTGGCCGAGGTCCACGAGCTTGCGTGGGTAAGTTTTATTCCCATTTTTAAAATAGTATATGAGAAACTCCACAACTCTTCTCTATTCCTTATGCATTTTTTCTAGAAGCTTTTATAATTAAAGTATTAGTTAAAACTTGAATAACTTATGGTTAGAATAAAATTTGATTATGAAACTAGTTGTTGCACATTCAACATATTTTTAATATAATGATGAGTTTATCTCGGACGTTAAACAATACGTCCCACTCTACTTCACTAACCGATATTTTAAAAGTCCGTGAAGTATATCGCTAAGTACATGCATCATATCTTAATCGCTATTTAATATGATAGTTAACATTAAATGGGTAAGTATTTATATTATTACTCTTTGGTTGTACAATCAGTCTAAGGATTATACTGATCCCTAACAAAACCCATGTCAATTGATATACTTTTTGTCTTAAACATAGTTAAATGGCAGATTTTGAATCAAAACTCAACTCCAGCGCTTCCAAGAGTAGCAATGTAGACAGGATCAGCGAGGACTATACCGCTTTTCAGAGTTACGTCAAGGATATGTTTAACCTTCTTCGCCAGCAAATTGCAGAAGTCAGTCGCTCGCTTGACATTATAGAAACAAGGCATCGCAGGAAATTCCTTTTAATGGGCGGTGTCCCTGAAAAACCAGGCGAAGATTTATCCGAAGTCGTGATCAAAATTTTTCACGAAAATCTAGGTCTTAAAGATATAGCACCATCTTGTCTTCGAGCAGCATACAGACTTGGCCCGGTCAAATTACACCATACTCGTCCTATATTAATGCGCTTCACAGATATGTCACTGCGCTCAACTGTTTGGTTTAAAAAAACAATGTTAAAAGGCACCTCGTTTAAATTATCGGAATTCCTTACAAAATACAGGCAAGACTTATTTTTTCAAGCCCGTAAGCATTTTGGAATTAAAAAAGTCTGGTCATTTGAGGGCAACATAAGCGTTAGACTGCCTGATGGGTCTCGACGTCACATCTTTAGCGCTAATGACCTGGATGCACTACTGCGCGATCTTCATAAAGCTGGATGCAACGAGGAGCCGGAACAAGTGAAGGCAGGAACTAGTAGTGTAGTTTCCCGTAGCGAGCAGCCAAGGACCCGACGAGCATTCAAAAATAAGTAAACATTCTCGGGATAGTGGTAATACTTTGTTTACACTTCGACGGCTTATTAATTACTACTATTGCTGTGTATACTGTGTACGTCACTGAGCGCTTTTGTATTCGATCCTTTTGTTCTCCGCAACCGGTTATTAGGCTGATTTGCGACACAAGTAATAGTACAGACTAATCTGAACCTTAAATTTCGTGAAATTACGCATTAGAGTATTTTTTTTCTCGTTTAAATTACCACTTCTCGTAGTGATTAACATATGTTTTTTTTTTCCTTCTTTTTCAATACGTACGAGTTTTGTTGTCTATGCAATTGTAAATAATTAAAATTAGATACTTTCTTGTAGTAAGTATTACTTGTTGTTTTCGTGTAATATTTTAATTTTTCTTTTTGTAAACAGTTTACCGGCGCGTTTGTTTGCAGTGCAATTATCAGTTAATAGGGTTTTTTTTTTCTATATTTTTAGACATATATCATAAGTATAATCATATATTATGACAGATTCTGATACCAATGAACTATTTCTCTCTGCTGATTCAGATTCTTCTTTCTTTTCACTAAATGACTCTTTTTCGGAACCTACTACTCTTCGTTATCTGCTTACTCAAAAGTTTCATGGTTTGACTAATAACTTTAACGTTTGTTACATTAACGCTCAGAGCATTCCGCAACATTATAATGAAGTTGTTGATACTTTTCATAATCAGTCTATTTCTGCGATACTTGTTTCGGAAAGCTGGTTAAAACCTACCTTACCGTCCACCTCCTTTGGAATACCTGGTTTTGTCCTCTTAAGAAATGACCGTACGGGCAAAAGAGGTGGTGGTGTAGCGGTATACTTACGTAATGGTATACCCTATAAAAAATTATGTGCTTCTTCATCTGTTTATTCTGGTACAATAGAATACATGTTCTTGGAGATTACCATCAGTGGGACTAAGACTGTTCTCGGTGCAATTTACTGTCCACCAGGAGTTAATTATTTTTGTGACCTTGAATCGGCTCTTTTTTCTATTGGCTCTGATTATCAGCACTTTATTATAATGGGAGACTTCAATACCGATATTCTCTGTAACTCAGCGAGGTCACGTGAATTGTATACAGTTATGAACTCCTTTAATTTGTCACTTCTTCCTCTCGACCCCACACACCACAATCTTGATACTGCTGATTCTTTAATAGATTTAATAGTGGTCGCTTCTGAAGACCATGTCGTTGTCTTCAGAAGGTCCACGGTCAACTCTCCGCCCCTGGGTTTTCGCAGCACGATTTACTGTATATTTCATATAGGATTAAATGTCCTAAGGTCAATCATGTGACGGTGCATCTGCGTAATCTAGCGAGACTTAATGTTGAAGAACTTCAGCAAGGTGCTTGTAGTATAGATTGGAGTGATACTTTCAGTGTGGAGAGTGTTGACGAAAAAGTAGCTCTTTTTAATTCAAATATACAGAAGTTGTTTGATAAACACGCTCCTCCACACAAAGTCAGACTGAAACGATCTCCTGCGCCGTGGATTACTGAGGATATCCGCAGGGCTATGGCAAAGCGTGATCGAGAATTTAGTAAATATAAGAGTAATCGGTGTACTGCTAACTGGACTCGATTCAAAGCCGCTAGGAATCGGTGTAATCAGATGGTGCGGGCCGCTAAACGCCGTTATATTCATCGAAATATCCTTAACGCTTCTATGGCTGATTCGTGGAAATTTTTAAAATCAATCGGGATAGGTAAACCTGCTTCTAACTTTGATCCTTCAATCTTCTCTGTTAATCAACTTAATACATACTTTTCTACTGCACCACAGCTGCATTCGTCAATTAAATCTACTACTATTGCCCATGTTAATTCTCTTCCAAAATTTTACAAAATCTCTTTCAATTTTTCTCCCGTTACTGATGAGGATATAAAAAAGTCAATTTCTTCCATCAAGTCCGCCGCAGTAGGCTCTGATGATGTGAGCAGAATCATGATCAATCTCATCCTCGATTATGTCTTACCAGTACTTACCCACATAGTAAATTTTTCATTAAATACTGGGGTTTTTCCTTCACTATGGCGAAATGCTTTTGTTCTCCCACTTCCAAAAATAAATAATCCTAGTTCTGTTTCTCACTTCCGTCCTATTTCTATTCTTCCTTTTTTATCAAAAGTACTTGAAGCTGTTGCTCACAGACAAATTTCTGACTACGTCTTTAAAAATAACTTTTTAAGTAGCTATCAATCAGGTTTCAGGCCAGGACATAGTACGACAACAGCCCTGCTTAAAGTTACGGAAGATTTACGTATAGGTATGGAGGAGTCAAAATTAACTGTGTTAGTCTTAATTGATTTCTCAAACGCTTTTAATGCTGTTGATCATGACATCCTTCTTACAATACTTTCTCACATTGGTTTCTCCTCATCAGCGCGGGAATGGTTCGCATCCTATCTTCAGGGACGTCAGCAGGCTGTTCGCGTGGGTCCAGTTATTTCTGACTGGTGCACGCTGGTTGCTGGCGTTCCTCAAGGCGGAATTCTCTCACCTCTTTTGTTTTCAATTTTTATAAATCTAATTACATCTCACATTCGCTGCACGTACCATCTCTATGCCGATGACTTACAAATATATGCTCAGTCTGATGTTAACGATATCGAAGATGCGATCACTGAGCTAAACTCTGACCTCACTCGTATCTCTGATTGGTCTAGCAAATTCGGTATTACTGTTAACCCTACCAAGTGCCAGGCAATTATAGTTGGAAGTAGCCGTCGCTTATCTGCATTGGATTTTAATTCACTGCCACCTGTAAATTTTAATAATGCTGTCATACCTTATTCAGCTACTGTGAAAAATCTAGGACTTATCATTGACAGCAGTCTAAGTTGGCGGCCGCAAGTCACGGAAGTAAGCAAAAAAGTTATCAACACCTTGCGTTGTCTGTATCGACTCAAGAATTTTCTTCCAGTGAGAACAAAGGTAATGTTGGTTCAAACGCTCGTATTACCAATACTAGATTATGCAGATGTATGCTATGCTGATGCCTCTCAAGAACTTCTTAACAAACTGGATCGTCTTCTCAATAATTGTATTCGCTTTATCTTTGGCTTACGTAAATTCGATCACGTTTCTTCATTCCGTTCTCAGCTCAAATGCCTGCCTCTTCCACTTTGTAGATCTTTTAGAATCCTTTCTATGCTATTCTCTATTTTACACGATCCGTCTGTCCCTGCATATCTGAAATGCAAATTTCAGTATCAGGACGATTCTCACAACCGATGTCTCCGTTCCGCGGAAAATCTAACTCTTCATGTTCCTTTCTGTCGCACGGGCTTCTCTTACAATTCTTTCACTTCAAATGCAGTAACACTCTGGAACATGTTACCCAGAAATATAAAAGAAGCAAAAACTAAACCTATCTTTAAACGTTTGCTCTGGGAATATTACTTAACGAAGCAGCAGTAGTTTCGGATAATAATAAAAAATTTAAAGAACCTCGGAAACTGTTATATTCTCAAATATGTATAATATAAAAATATCATATTTATTTACTGTGTATGTATTTATTGTGGGTATTTGTGTACAAGTATAAAATACTATTGTATGCATGTAAGTAGTAATGTAAATGTATATGTATGTGTATTGTATTTATTATCATTATATTATAATTTTGTATTTTTTTTTCCTTAAACCTTTAATTTTTTTAATTTTTTTTTTAATTATGAGTTTTGCACCCATCACTAGATTCTCTGCACAAACCAAAGGTAGACTGGTAGAGAATGCCTTTAGGCATTAAGTCCGCCGTTTTGTACATTTCTTGTATGTGTGCAAATAAAGCTTAAATAAATAAATAAATAAAATTATATTCCCTTTGCTTTTTGTAACTATTAGAAGCCAGTGCTTTACTATCTACGAGTATATAATATATTATCTATCCCACCTGATGGTAACTGTTGCTGCAGCCGAAACATATTTTTTTAATTGAATCTTTTAATGACAAAAAAAATTAAACTTTTCTATACATGGATTTGAAAAAAAATATTATTAGTTCGTATTTCTAAGCGAAATCAAAAAAGGAAAGTTATAAATTATAATCGACGTATGTTTTTTTTTTTAAGTATGTTCACCATTTCTCTAAAACGGTTGTACCGATTAAAAAGATTATTTTTTATTAAATAGGTTATACTTTAAACTGTAAAATAGGAGATGAACTTGTGATATTCCTTTAGTCCAGGGGAAGGGAAAATATTTTTTAACAGTTTAATATATAATAGCCTAAAGTTGTTTCTTTAACTCTTCAATTCTTTAATTCACTATGTCTTAGCTTAATAGTCGTGATAGCTCAGAGGGTCAAAGCGTTCGCTATAAATTTCAACCCAGTTTCGATTCCCGCTTGCACCAAAGAAATTGTTTATTACAATTTCAAGTGCTTATTTAAAACAAACAATCAAAGAAAACATCGTGAGGAAACCTGTCCGAGAAATAATAAAAAAAATATTTCGAAGACATGTTAAGATAGCCAACACGCATTGGGGCAGCGCGGCGAACATTTCCTTGCCCTAAAACCCTCTCAGAAATGATGGGATGTATATAGGATGTAACTTTAACTTGTTTAGTAATGGAAGTGTTTGCCTTATCCTGTAGACATGTAATTATACATCTAGCCTCGATTAAGAATAATAATGAAAATGCATTGTCACCTTTGAGGCCTCTGTCGCTCAAACGCATAACATCGGAAATTTAGCGTTTACTTCAAAACTCCGTTCTTTTGGCTCCACATTTGTGTAGAAAAGAACAGAGTTATTCGAACTCACTTGATAACAAGCACTATTCTGACCTTTCCTTACAAAGATCTTACCGCACCTCTAAAAATATATACCTGGGTGTTAACTACGCGTAGATCCGCAATACCCTTAAGTGAAGTAAGAATATCCACTACCCCTTATCATCTCGTGGGAGTCTTAAGGTCCGACAAAGAGAGACAGATCAGAACATGGGCAGCAGAAAAATCAGTGCAAGAGTTTGTTTTTTAAATAACAGTTAGGCCAATACGGCATACGTGTTGAACTGGTGTTAATATAAACTAAGGCAAAAAATTCGAACACCTACTAACTATTTCATAACTATATACTCTTGTTTTCGTGTTTCTTTTGGAACAAGTAACAAACGACGTTGCTTGCAGGTGCAAGAATAATCACGGAATACTTTCGGTCTTACTAGTCTATCATATATTTCCTATTCTTCTTCTCAACGCGTTTTACAATAGCCTAACCTCGTTGTCAGAGGATAACTAGGTCAAACTATTGTAAAACGCGTTACATCATTTTAACAACTTCCCTGTCTGTGATAACGAAACTATAGTTAAGCAAAAGGAACGTTCACACGTGACTTACGGGACAGTGAAAAGGTTTAGGTCACTTTCGATTTTGTGTAACTGATTTACTACTTGAGCATTATGCTGCTGTTTCACGCTGGCATTATACGTGAGCGTGAACCTTCTCTGGTCGTGCTGACCCATTTGTGAAGCAGCCTGAAGCGTTGCTCTACTCTACCACGTATAATACCGTTGTATATTGGAAGTGAAAACTTTTTTAGAATCGTGATTTGAAACTGGATGTAACGAAAAAGTGACACTAAAAAGACAAACATATATGTACATCTATAGGATTTAGCCTGCGAGAGAACGAGATAGAATACAGTATACAGTGCTTATTATACACACGTAGAACAACATAAGCCCTACAATAATTACCCCACTACTGATGTTTCTGAAGGTTTTTACGTGGTAGAGCTATGCTGCAGCTATATTAATAGTATAATTGTAGCACGAATGGATCGGCTCGACCGGGAAAGGATCACACTCTCACAGAATACCATCGTAAAATAGCAGCTTAATGCTGCTGTGTTTCGTATGGTGAGTGTAGAGAACCGGAGACCCTTTGTACTGGAAAAGAGGTATTCTATATTAGTCCTCACGGCTGACAACGCATCTGCATTTTAATTCGCAAACGTAGATAGATGTAGATGTCTATGGGCCACAGCAACCACTTACCATCAGGTGGATTGTGTGCTCGTTTGTCACCCTAATTCTATAAAAAAAGGTTTCACTTCTACCGCGTGTAAACTGCACACATGCTTTTTTTTCATAAAACTGAGGTTGCAAACGCATTTCTTAACAGAAAAACTCTATAACAAACTTTTCTTATATAGGATAGGGTGACAAACGAGCACGCAGTTCACCTGATGGTAAGTGGTTGCTGCGGCCCATAGACATCTACATCTATCCTCTATTACAAATCAAAATGTAGATGCGTTGTCACCCGTGAGGAGTAAGATGGAATGCCTCATTTCCAGTAAAAAGGGTCTCTGGTACTCTACACTCACCATACGAAACACAGCAGCGTTAAGCTGCTATTTTATGCTGGTATTCTATGAGAGTGTGGTCGTTCCACGGTCGAGCGGACCAATTCTGGCTACAATTATACCAGGAATATAGCTGCAGCATGTTCTACCACGTAAGTAACTTTTGGCGCGACCCAGGATTCGGATGTGGACCTCATGATCAGCAGCCGCATTTACGATCTCCAGACCAACTGGACAGTAATCACTCAACGCTAATAGGGCAATAAGAGGAGGCCTGTGACTTTTATAATGCCATTATAAAGTAAAATTAGCTGCGATTTGTCTTCATGAATTTAAAATAAACTTAATTTTAATAAAAAACTATATTTATTACAGGCGCTCGCCTCGGTGAGATGCAGTCTCTAGCAGGTCTTGCAGCCATACTGCAGAAGTTTACAGTGGAACCGTGTAAGGATACCTGTCGAAAATTAAAAGTTAACCACTGGATGAACGTGGTTCAAGGAGTCAACGGGGGAGTGCCTTTGAAACTTACATTAAGGAAGACTTAAAATTAACCACATTATATTAAAGTTATAGTTGAAATAAATATATCGACTTACCATTCTTTTCACTTATAAATAATCAAAATCCAATAAGTACAACATTCTATACAAAATGTATATAGATAATACGTAGATGAAGCGGTTAAATAGAAATAATCAACGCTCATGACCTTTCATGAATAATAACGTCGTCCTGGCCATTTCGAGACTGTTCCAAAGAGTATAGTAATATATGGACTGTTCTAACGCGTGTTTACAGTGCTGACTTGCTTACGCGCGCTCTATAGCTTGCTTATAAATACTCTAAGCTTTTACCACATAAGGCATTAGTGACCTTTCTGTGCTTTTACTACTCTATGACACCAGCGTGTCATTACACCGTAGACTTTCTTCTTACGCTGTGATTACACGGCACACGTATACCGTACCTACGCAATGGCAATCTTGTAGTGAAAAAGTTCGTACGATCTTAAGGTGTGGTTGGTGCAGAGAACAGTAAAGAATTCTGCCCACACACCCAAGGTTGTTGGCGCGGGGACAAGTCCTATACATATATAACATAAACTCTCTTACCTATTATTTAGAAGGGATTTCAAATGGGCACGATACTGACATACCCCTCTTGCGTTCTTTCACATTCATATACTAAGCATACATGCTCGTTCAATTTCTTTGCTACAACAGATGTGTCGAAAAACTGAGCGCTTTTTGCATCTTTACTTAGTTTGAATGTTTGATTTTAATTTCATTAGCAATTGTTTTATGAGCTAATAAAGAAAAGGCAGACCTCGGTCATGCCGTGGTATTTATACTATCGTAACAGTGCCCTCTGTGTAAGTCCCACGAAGCATACCTGGTGTCGAAACAAACATATATTTATAAAGTACTTAGAACCATTACGTTTAAAGCTTTTCTTTGCTGTCGCACCCATAATAATGTTAGGGATAATTGTTAGGCTAAAATATATCGGCTGAATTTAAGTAGTTTTTAGTGACATTTTTTCAACGGTATTATTTAACTTATCAGGATAGTAAGAAATTTCTCATTTTTCGAACATTTTTTTTATTATATTATGGTTATATTTACGCTTATTGATATTAATAAGTACTATACGAACCGTTTTCTGAATTGTCTGTAATTGAATTGAAATGTCACGCAGGACGCACTATGCTAAACTGCATTTGTTTTGCATCGTGCGTGCGACCTTGGCGAGACGTACAGCAAGATGGGCCGTGAATAAGACGCTTTATTATCGATAACGTATTGCTTCGCTAATGGCACATCATTTGCAATGCTTATGGAAAGTATAAAGGCAACAACCTTTTGAAAGAAGATAAGATTGGTGACAATAAAACAAAATATCTTATTTTGTTCCACATAAAATGTCGTAATCATTGTTATTTTATTCTTATTTCAGGATTCCCTCTATGCTTGTACTTACTCTTGAATTTTCAAGGCTATAAAATAGGTGAAACTAATCCACGACGAATGAATTTCGGATATAAAAGATAAAACCCAAAATGCGTTAATCGTGGAACTTCCTTTTGTGAAGCCGAATCACTTGACGTTTAAAATGTCACTTTAATTAAAATGACCAATCATCTGCTCTGAAATTATTTTGTAAAATATTTTACTTATAGCTGACAGCACGGAAAAAGTATGGAGTAGGGTTTTCCCTACTGCCTGATTCAAATACAAAGATAAGAGATAGATAGATATAAGAGAGTATTTCTAACATATCGATGAAATGTTTTATTACTTGTAAGTGATACTTAGCAATATAGCTCTCGTAGCTCGTCTCTACTCATTCTAATTTCATTGATAGGCCATCTACTAAAACATAATTTTTACGAATTTCATCTTTCTACTATTTTTTTTAATTCGGTAGAGATTACAAGAAATAGGTGTTAACGGTGCCATGAAAATTAATAACGCATTTGTGGAGTGATTCTCACAGGCAAAGAAGAAAAAACTTTTTATTCGCACTGCCTATGGCCTACACCTTATAAAAATAGCCGACGAAGGCTATTTGTTAAGGTCGTCTTGAAGTATTTTTTTTTGGAGTTTATGGCCTGGTATCTAGACCTTTAGGCCAAGTCTTAAGTATTTTTATTCGGTTTATTGTAATTTCCCCACTCCTTCATAGTATACTGCTTCACAATATGTTGATGCGTCACATTGTGCAGTTCTTGGGAGATTTTGGCGGCAACTTGATCCAGCAGACAGCTGATAGTTGGCGATGGTATCTAAAGGTGCCTATGCAAACAAACAGCTTATCTTGAGAATCCATCACCATCAGAGCACTTGTTTCACTGTTTCCACTAATAGTTCACATGCGTAGACACTTAATACACAAAATCGCAACACTTTTACATATCAAAGTCCACTTCAAACCATTATTTAAACAATAATACAGGAGCAGCAAACCGCCGCCGGTCAATTTCCCGCCAAAACTCCTCGTCTTGAAGTATGCTGTGTACAGTGTTACCAACTCGAATTTTTGCAAATCCGTAGATCGGTATAAAAATTTCCGTAGAATTCCATAGATGCTCTTGTTGTAAATTCAATTGTAGTACAACATCGAATCAACATTACACAGCACTTATAAGAAAAAAGTACCATTTTTTTTTAATTACTTAACTATTTTATTAAAAAACGAAAGGAATAACTAACACTTAATTATTTGTGGATAGTTATACTCAAAAAATTACTTCGATTGTTAAAATTTTCGATTTTTTTTAATAGGTTAAGGGTGACAAACGAGCGCACAGTCCACCTGATAGTAAGTGGTTGCTGTGGCCCATAGACATCTACATTTATCCTCGATTACGAATCTAAATGCAGATGCGTTGTCACCCGTGAGGACGAAGATGAAATGCCTCGTTTCCAGTAAAAAGGGTCTCCGGTTCTCTACACTCACCATACGAAACACAGCAGCATTAACCTGCTGTTTTACGCTGGTATTCTTGAGAGCGTGGTCCTTACCCGGTCAAGCCGAACCATTCGTGTTACAACTATACCAGGAATATAGCTGCAGCATGGCTCTACCACAATTGTCGGTTGTCGGCTAAGTTCACACTCATGATAAAAATGTTTTTGTTAAGTTTTTAGAAATCTAATTATTCTGAAAGAACTGTGAAGTACAAAAAAATAATTAACATGGAAATCGAAATCCGTAGATATCAACGCAAATTCCGTAGTTCCGTAGAAGATGAAAAAAATCTGTAGAGTTGGCAACGCTGGCTTTTATTACCCCACTCACCGCAACTATCGAACAAATTAACACTAAAGCGGGGTGAATTTTAGAACAAACAAAAATGTGAAAAACGCGGGTCTCCACCGCGATCTAGATATGCCGTGGTAGCTCAGATGGTTAGCGCTCGATGTAAATTTCACAGTACGCGAGCAACCCGGGTTCGATCCCCGCCGGCACCAATGAAATTGTTAATTGCAATTTTAAGTGCTGATTTACCACGAGCTCGGCGGTGAAGGAAAACATCGTGAGGAAACCTGCATGTCCGAGAAATAAGAAAAAAAATTTGGAAGACATGTGAAGTTCGCCAACACGCAATGGGGCAGCGCGGCGGATATATGCGTGCCCTAAAACCCTCTCAAAATTGAGGGGAGGTCCGTGCCCAGCAGTGGGACGTATATAGGCTTAACTTGTACTAATATTACGGAAAGAAATATCAATCTCTACACTTTTCTAACAAATCAACTTCCCCAATTGAAAAGTGTCATATATTTTACCTTATTCCAACGTAGCGCCGCTCTGGGGGTAGAAAAATTGAGTGCCTCATTGAGATGGCTGGGTGCTACCATCTGCTTGGGATTCTTCCAACCTACGCATAAAACTACAAGACTTCATGATACTGCAAGTTCTTTCTGAAGGTAACCGTTTTAAACTATGACACTGGGACGTCGAACACCTAAGTTCATAGATAATACACTATATACCAGACACCTTAGTCCCTCCGTGATCATGGGTGTTGTAAAGTATTGAAAACGTTGAAATATAAAATAGGTAAATAAAACGCTATTAAATGCGTGAAGCTAGTTTCATTCAATAAATAATAGAATAAAATGATTTTTATTCAATATTGATTATTACATAATACTTATTGAAAGTCATTTTTATTTACCACTGATTCGGAAAATACCTCTGTTCTGGAAAGAACCAGCAAGGAACCCAGCGGGACTTTGTTTTAAACATGTTTCACTTAATAATAATAAGTTCTTTCGTGTGATATTTGACACGATTTCATTATGGAATTTCGATGAAACTCGATGGAACAGTATATTCCATACCATCGAGTTTCATATATAACATATTTTTTTTTATATTCCATGGTTTAATCTATTCATTAATACAACTCATCAAATTTTGATTCTTAATCGAGAATAGATGTACGTGTCTATAGGCCACAGCATCCACTTACTATCAGGTGTACTGTGTGCTCGTTTCTTACCTTTATTTAATAAAAAATTAAGTGCTGATTTACGTGCTCGGAATTGAAGGAGAAACATCATGAGGAAACCATGCAGGTTTGTCTATAGGATGAACTTTTCGGTAGATATGTGAACACGCATTGTACATACTCTTAGAATTGGAAGAAAACCTGTGATAAGCTGTGGAACGTATAATGTCTATAACTTTATTCTTATTTGTTATCTGTCGAATGCAGGCTAGAATGCGTCAAACAATTCATTTCTTGAAAGATTTGTCTGCCGACTTCCAAAAAGGAGACGGTACTCAATTCGACGCATATGTTTTTTTTTATGTGTGTTACCTCATAACTTTTTACTGGGTGAACCGATTTCGATGATTGTTTTTTTATATGAAAGCTGATACTTCTCGTGTGGTCCCATATGAATTTGATCAAGGTCAGACCAATAGTTTTTGAGTTATTCTTAATAACTTATATTGAAGTTGGCTGTACAAAATTTTTAATTTTAAATTATTCATATCAATCCTACTTTGACTGTTTCGTTGGTCAAGTGGTCATAAACGCGATTGCTGATCTTGAGTTCCCGGCTTCCAATCCCGGGTCGAGTCATAATCAGTGGTTGCGTTTTTTCTGTCAAGAAATTCTCAGTAGCACCCTGGAGTAAGGAAGTTGGCGGTGTTTCATCCCCGTGCCTCGGAAAGCACGTAAAGTCGTTGGGCCTACGCCTGATCTATTTGCGGCCGTATCGGATTACCATCCCATCGACTATATGAGAGTGAGGGAGTAGATAGTTCTCCTATACTTGCGCAATCTACTCGAGCACTATAATACTGCGTAGATGGCTAGTCTTCATTGACACTAGACACAGTGGTCGAATTTCAATCTGAAGTTAAGTGCCAAAGGCATTTGTGCCGCTCACGTTTTTATTTTTTGATGGTTGATGAGCTTGGATAAATCATCAGTTGATAGCTTAGTTAATTATTTGTATATTCTATGGTTTTAATTTCCTTTTGGTATAGTTACACTTTATGCTATATGCAAAAAGTCAAAAAGTATATATCAAAGAGAATATAATCACTACATTTATATTACGTGCTATATATACTCTTTGTCCTTGGTTACGTAACATTTTACTTATGTCAAAATGTTTTGATATATTTGTAATAAAATAACATAAAATCATTAAAAGCCTTATTCAAATTTTCCGGGCATCATGTCTTTGCAATACGTAAAAATATATTACGGGCCCTACGATGCATTTCATACAGTGTCACACAAACCTCAAAAATTAAGAGGACTTAAAGGTTTGTCAAACAGCAAATATTGTAATCAATATACACAACTTATAATGTAAATATTAATTTCCATAAGATTTACATTTAGAATTCTAGTATTAGGAGAGATTCACTGTTGTAGATTAACTTAACTATACAGGGTTATTTTGCAATAATTGTCGACGACCGAGCCCTTTCCGATCGGCTCGATTCATTGGCACTGCGAAGAGATGTTGCATCCCTTTGCATTTTCTTTCGCATCTACCATGGGGAGTGCTCTGAGGAATTGTTCGGATTAATCCCAGCCGCCAAATTTCACGAACGCACATCGCGGCAGAACTCCCGATACCATCCACACCATCTGGATGATTGGCGGTCCACCACTGTGCGATTTAGAAGATGTTTTCTTCCTCGCACGACCTCCTTGTGGAATCGATTACCATCAGCGATTTTTCCGGACCGATACGACTTAGGGACCTTCAAGAAAAGAGCGTACTCCTTTTTAAAAGGCCGGCAACGCATCTGCGATTCCCCTGGTGTTGCAGTTGTTCATGGGCGGCGGTAGTCACTTACCACATTATCTTTTTTGGTCCAAATATGAAAGTGCCGGCCAATAAAAAAATATGCTGTATTCCGTTAGAACTTGTCCCCCTGAGTATTTATTATTATGACACCAAAGCTGTAGGGTCATTGTCCTTGGTTTTATTGGAGTTCAAAAATTCAACATCTTCATACATTTTCAGTGAATTTAATAAACAAAAACAAATGATTTGTTCTACCATATTTTTATTTTGAACATCGTTTAGTAAAATATATTGGTTCTTGACCTATTTTGGACATGTTGATCTTGTTTTGTGTTTTTGAGGATTATAAGTAAAATATGTATACAGGGGTTATTTTGTTTAATTAAACACTATAAAATCATCATCGTCTGGTACAACAATAATGTTCTCCAATCCATAAGCTGGAGGGGTTATTGCTGGCAAATGTCGTGCATGGCTCATGTACCATATAATGCACATAATATGGGAGCAGCATCCAATTGTTCGCTTTCCTATGATGCACGAACAATAATAGTGAGCGATTGCTTGTCGGCCTGATAACAACCTATGTATTATAATGTAGACATAATACTGTCTTGCTCTAACATGCCGCGATTGCAGTCGGCCTCTTATCATCCATAAATCATTGCCCTGCAATTCCGCCAAGTCTTCATTTGATAACTCATTGCTGAGCTCAATTGTGAATGCTCCATTGTCAAGGACGTGCTCACCGTAATAGCTTTTGGCCTGTTTTAGTTGATAAACGCCCAGAGCGAATAATAATAATTCGCTCTCATCCATTCTTGGAAAATCTACAAACTCTGGCATATCTGCAGTCATTAAAGTAAACTGAGCACGTCTGCGATTGTAGTTATGGCGTATTACAAGATCTGCCAATCTATTTTGCATATTAATTCTTTGGTGGATAATCTCTAAAATCGCAGCAGCATTTGGATTATCTTCAATCAAAACATGAAAACGATTTATCATCGCCGCTGCTATCTTGAAATAGTCGAACATGCTGGGAAGAGCTCTGTTATTATATACATTTCGCAACAGGCGAAAATCTCTTTTGAACCTGCCGTTGACCACTTCAACCACCCAACGACAGATTGTTACCAGTCTGGACTTATTGGCCTGATCCGTGGTTAGCTGTGTCTCATTTGGATACTTTGTTTGAGGCATATGTTGTACGTATCCGCAAGATTCCAGATTTCTTGCTGAGTCTCGAAAACCACGGTCCAGAATAAAAACATCGCCACTCCTATAAAACCAGTGGAAGGCACTGTCAGCATTATTAAGCATATCATTCATTATATCTGCGTCAGACGTGGTGGCAGCATATGGTCCGTTAACTTCGATAATGTGTCCATCACAAGAAACCAAGAGGAACGGTTTTAGGAGGTTTCTGTATTTGTGGTGGCTGTAAGACTTGCGTTGGAAAAAATAATTTCCACTTTTTTGCAGATAGATGTACGTGCCATCACAAATCGTGATAGCTTTCCTTTCATCTTCTGGGCTCGATGGGTTCCCAAACAGATTGTTGGGTAGAAAAAGATTCCTGTGTGCTACATACTCACGGGAAATATGGTCAAACCCAACATTTAAGGGCACAAAATCTTCTAACAGAGCGTTGCGTCCGATTTATAACCACGTATGAAACGCTGTTTCGCTACATTTAAAAATATTAGCAAGCCGCGCGTTCGAGTCACCTGTTCTTAACTTGACTAATACTGCCGCCAGTAAGGTTCTTTTATTCTTTTTAGTTCTCAGACTTGGTAAACTATCTAATAATTCAGTAAACTGATCTTGAGTCAGTCCTGTCCAAGTATGAAACTCGGCTGGTGCTATATTTTCATACTGCTCAAAATCAAGTATTTCCTCCGTAATATGTCTTTGTAACATCGACACGATAGTCATTATTTGAGCTGCAGTGAATTCCTCAGAAGATTTGTCTTGTACAGGAAGTAAATGCCACAGATTTTGCTCCACGTGTTCATTACAGACACGCGCGCTTTCTGGCACGAAATAGCTGTAGCAGCATACCATGCGAAAAATTATGTTCTCTGGAACACGACGGCGAGATTCATTCGTACAATGTAGGAAAATGCAACTATTTGCGGTGTTTGGAGCACGAAGAAGACCTGGCAAAATCAGCGAAATTGGTCTTGAATTTGGAACTTCCGATGGATCACGGTCTTGATCAGCTTGCTGTTCAGCCTCCCGAATAAGTCGCTGGTGCGTTCGTTCCGTTCTTTGCCAACAGGGTCGACAAATGAACGCAGTAGGCTCCAACTGTCGAGCTACTATATCTTCTATCACTATTTGGGCGATATCAAGATATTGCATTTCTCTGGAAACCCAATCATATCTTCGCCGATTCTCTGTCGATGCACGGCACGCGATACACAACTCTGCCATGACTCGCAGCAATGTTCAAACTTAACAACGGAGATAACAAAAACAAAACAAATCAAAGCACAAGAACTAGTGGGCATCACACAGACATACACGGCAGCGTTGCTTTCGGTACTAAACAATTAACGCGAATGCTAGCAAACGAATGAGCCTGGCGCGATGGCGGTAGTTCGCGGGAAAGTGAGGGGCATCTGCTCGCTGCACCGTATTCCATTGTTCGCGTGAGTGTTTACCTGCGCGGCCATTGTTATTGCCATTTTCTAGGAAAAAGTCCCGGCATCCCAGCCGATTATGCAGTAATATTAGTGGTTTAAAGGTTATCTTGTCAGAAATAGGTCAAGAACCAATATATTTTACTAAACGATGTTCAAAATAAAAATATGGTAGAACAAATCATTTGTTTTTGTTTATTAAATTCACTGAAAATGTATGAAGATGTTGAATTTTTGAACTCCAATAAAACCAAGGACAATGACCCTACAGCTTTGGTGTCATAATAATAAATACTCACGGGGACAAGTTCTAACGGAATACAGCATATTTTTTTATTGGCCGGCACTTTCATATTTGGACCAAAAATGTATGAAATCCCGATGATGATGTCTTTTACAGGGACGGTTCATAATAAGTAATATAGGCAAATGGTGAATAGAAATTAATTAAAAAATATCTGGAACATTCTGCACTTTTTATCTTTTAAATTCAAAATACATGGTAATGCATTATTTTAATAATTAACTGATTTTACTGCGCACGCACACATTCGTAAGGGTCGATCGGTAGGCAAAAACGTTGTTACCCATAAATCACATTCAATTTGGGATAATTTCAAAAGCATAAGTCTTATTTACTCTTATTTTCAAAAACTGCACTATCGGTATATATTTATTTATATATTTGAAGTTAAGTTTAAAATTTGGCTGCTCTTTCAAAAATTACCCTGTTTTATGGATAATAGGGCAAATAAATGTTGTTAATTTGTTACATTAGTAGCTAATTAATGGTCAAATAAAACAATAAGTAACATATATCTGGGTAAAAATAACTTTTAATAATAAAATAAAACTCTGTGTAGTAGCGGGTCAGAATACTACCCCATATCTTCCCGTGGGTCTCATAAGAGGTGGCAGAAGGAAACTGAGGCAGAAGATGAGCAGTAGCATCTTTCTGATAACAACAAAACAACTACTAGTGGCAACTATGGCAATATACCCCTATGATTAAAGTTACGAAGAGACGGCCCCCAGTTCCCGGCGGCTCCGCTATTCCTAGCTACGGTGGCGACCATGGTAACGGCGGGGTAGGGGGTGCTAAAATTCTCCGGTGGAGGTTCGGTTGCTATCTAAGACGACTCGACATAGCAACATATAACGCACGCACCCTGAGGACTGACGAGAAGATCCTGGAGCTGGAAAAAGAGATAGACAGGTTGCGCTGGAATATAATAGGATTATCTGAGGTCCGAAGAGAGGGGGAGGAGATGGTAATCCTCAAATCACCGTGAGGGCGACCATCTGTCCCAAAGAGGTGTCGGATTTATCGTCCACAACCCTCGCCGGCACACTCTCAATCTTTACAACGTTGTAAAGATTGAGAGTTGCGAGGGTTGCGTACCTTATATTCAGAATCACCAAACGGTATTCGCTGAAGGTCATACAGGTTTACGCACCAACCTCGGCACGTCCCGATGAGGAGGTGGAGGAAATATATGAGGATATATCTAGAGCCATACATTCCTCCAAAACATCTCCGTCCCCCTTGTGCTCTAATCCAAAGTCCCGAAACCTTTCAGCTGGAGCTACAAAACCGTTATCAGTGCCTAGAAGATTGCAATTCAGTGAACGTATATGAATGACAAGCTCGTGGGTAGCGTGGGCTCGTGGGTCTATGGGTAACCGCATGGGTAGTGGTTGTAGATCGCAGTAGGTACTAACCGTCTTACACCTTTGACGTTTCTTCCCGTCGTCGATCTCAACATTTTACAATTAGCTTACACTAGATGGTGATATCGCCATCTGTCAAAGGCCTGATTTTTCTGACAAATTACGTAGGACACTCAGTAAGTTTTAAGATATACATACTATTAATATTTATTTTGCAACTTTTCAAAATATTCTCCATCGTGCTCTATACAAAATTAGCCTAAATCAACTCTAAAAACACTTTTGCCAGTCTTGATCTGATAGGTCGGAAATTGCTTCTTCGTAGGCAGCCACGGCTTCTTCGGCGCTTGCAAAAAACTTGCCTTTTGTTTTTTCTTTGACTCTTGGAAAAAAAGAAATCACAAGGAGCTAAGTCAGGGCTGTAGGGTGGGTGACTTAGAGTTTCAACACCAGATTCCTTAATGAATGCTTTTGTTCTAAGGGAGGTATGTGAAGAGGCGTTATCGTGATGCAGCATGATTTCCCGAAGCCCGATCTTTGGTCTTCTCTCCGGAAGTAATCTATACAAATAAATAAAGTGGAAGTGTCTGTTTGTAATGTCAAAATTACAGCTTTTTACTAATTGCATATGAAAGTATATACGGTACTTACAACAAAAACACACACATACATTTAAAAATTTTTGTCTGTCTGTCTGTTTGTTCCGGCTAATCTCCGAAACGGCTGCACCGATTTTGACGGGACTTTCACTGGCAGATAGCTGATTTCATAAGGAGTAACTTATGCTACTTTTATTTTAGAACAATAATTAGGGTTCCACGCAAAAACATAAAAACCCTAACACGCGAGCGAAGTCGCGGGGAACAGCTAGTATAGAAATAAACTTTATCGTCCGTAAAGACGATATTCATAATGAAATTAATCTTATACATTACTAAGTCTTTGTGTAACAACATTTTAATAAAGAATACACGAAAAAAAATGGAAACAATTTTTTTTTCTCAAAAGCGAGTAATCCACAAGATGCACATTCAAAGGATTTTTTGTTATCTTTGAATTAAAATACAAAAATAATAATTCTTTTCTAGGGTGGTCACACAAAAGTTTAGTAAAATGTAGTTGTGTAAGAAAATGCACCAACTGGCGACTCGTCCGGGGAACCTTACTGAGGTTTTGTGTGGGAAAATTTATTCAAATATACCGAACACAAATCCTATAGACAGGTAGATAGGTTGACATTAACCAATGTAAGGATACTGCGCTCTAAACCGCATGAGTATAGGCAAAGCGTTCAAGAAATTATTTGAGCAGAGGATTTAATGGCTGATGCAGGCGGAAAAAGTGAAATGAATTTTATTCACAATATGCATACAATCCATTGTTGCGTGATATAGATAATTATATATGCCGTATGCAACTACAACGTGCTGATGATAAACGTTTCATCACTTAACAGATCGTCTTCAAAAACTAGGTTATCGCATCGATCTGGTCCCTGTGGAATATATTAACTACTGCATGCTGGAGATGTGTGGCCATGAGGTATTTAGTTCTCGATTTCTTTCTGTTATGTAATATTACAACCATCCGAAACAGAGCGTTAAGGGAACTCAATAGTCAAGTCTATAATAATATTGTTGTTTTTTATAGGATAAGGGTGACAAACGAGCACACTTTCCACCTGATGGTAAGTGAGTTCCTGGTGGCCACCTTTTCGTTAGAGCAATGTTCTGTGTTCACCTTACCTAAATAAGGTTATTTTACCTAAGACTGGTGATGAATAAACTATCAAATTTTACATTATTGAATTTATACAGGTTACGAATCCTACTCGCACTTGTCCGGTCTTTAATATGTTATTATTTTAATCTATTTCTTTAACAGTGTCTAAATGTTAATATAAATTATTTCTTTCAGTTTCTTAACGTTATTTAACTTACGTTAACTTGATGTCCTTTGTTACAAACACAGTAGTAGTTTTTAGTCAACTTCTGGTAATTGACCTTTCGCCATTCTATTCTTGCAAGGATTTATCATATTCCCTATAGTTGGCGGACATGTTGTAGATCGCAGTAGGTACTAACCGTCTTACACCTTTGACGTTGCTTCCCGTCGTCAATCTCGACATTTTACATTTAGCTTACACTAGATGGTGTTGTTATGTGTCGGATACCGCCAATGGCCCGACTTTTCTGACAAATTATTACTAATTCCAGGTATTTAGATGTAACATTCAGAACCTTCAATTTAATACTCCGGTCGACTCAGACCCTGTTGGCGAGCGTGCCGTCCAAGCAGTGGTCGACGCGTCAGCAAAATTCCTAAGAGCACGAAGCTACTTATGGTTCTGGGCTTTGATAGAGAACCAACTATTTAGGAGGAGTGAGTACGCACCGAAAGACCACTGGCCTTTCGACGTGGACTTGGAAAGTTTTGAGACGTGCTTGCAATGTCCGGCTTGTGCAAGCTTGAAAAACCAAAATTAAATATTTTAAAAATAAAATTCGGTAGTTTTTCTTTGAAGAGAGCCATTCAAAAATAACATCTGACCAGTTCTGTCGTTGTAGCATATTATGTTGGTTATATATACAAGTTGATAGATCTTTTTCTCTGCCTAGGAGACTTACACTATCTTACCTATTTCTGCCGTCAGAGCAGTTCGTACGCAGCTGTATTCCGGTCCGAAGTTGAGAGCCAGTAAAATTACAGGCATTCCATCTTAGTCCTCAGAAGTAAGAACGCATCTGTACCCTTCTCATTTGAAGTCTGTTACAAGTGATCATAGGCTGGAGCAGCTGCTTACCATCAGTAAGTTCGAAAGTTCATAAAATAATTGTAAGGAAACCAAACTAAATATATCAGAGGTGTTTTAACCATATTTATATTGACCATCCTGCACTAGCAAGCAGGTGTTTCTTTCCGGTTTCAATCATTTCTCGAAGTCAGAGAGAGCAAACTTTAGACTGACTGTTCGTGTAATGTATAAAATTTGTTTATGTAGAATTTATGTTTGTAAAATACCTCTGTTGCGTTTTATCGTAAATCGAAACGCAACAATGACAAATAGCCCGGGCCATTCAAAAAATTCGAATTTAAATAACGGTTCCAGACTTCTTCAATACACGATATCATAGTTTTACTTAACACAGTAGTTCACCTTTTATATACATTTGTAATTATTTTTCAATACAGAATTCCTGTTTTCATCCCTTAGTTCTTGTATTATACGCAATTAATACAAATAATGTCAAGATTTTTATTTTGCGGATTCAACTAAGTACATCAATTTATTATATACATCACCCAAGAGCTCCTGCCGCATCCAGGATCAGAATCTTGGGCAAACGTATGGTCCTTCGATCCTCAACAAGACAACCAGCGAATTAAAATTCAAGAATTCAGAGCATCCAGGTCTTCAGGTCTCAGGCGCAAAATTAGGAAGTCGTCGGGTACGAGCCTTCTATACTCAGCAGCGATTCCTATTTTTGCAAGCAGACTGTTCAAAACCGAATTCAATTCGAAGCCCGAAACCGTTAGATCATAAATATCAACTGGGTGAGTCCGTTTCAATAGTTATTCCTTTTCCATTCTTTCTATAATTTCCACTTTCTATAATTTAAACAGCTTTAAAAGTGTCAGGCAATTTGATATTATAGTTACCTTTAAATAATTGCATTTTCTTTTTTTTTATAGGATTAGGGTGACAAACGAGCACACAGTCCACCTGATGGTTTGTGGTTGCTGCGGCCCATAGACATCTACATCTATCCTATATTACAAATCAAAATGTAGATGCGTTGTCACCCGTGAGGACTAAGATGGAATGCCTCATTTCCAGCAAAAAGGGCCTGCGGCCACCTGCACTCACCAAGCGAAACGCAGAGGTAAACCTCTACTTCACGCTGGTTTTCTGTGAGGTCGTGGTACCACCCCGGTTCGAGCCGGCCCATCCGTGCGACAGCAAAAGCTGCCGCGTGGCTCTACCACTGTTAAATATATAATCTAATAATCTAATTAAGTGATTAACCCTATACGTGATAAAAATACTATACCATGTTAAAATCGTTTCTTTCTTGTTTATTTACCTACGCGCATTACATTTGCATCGTTTAAAACAGCTGTGAGGTGTGACTAGTGACATAGTTTTCTTCAAGTAGCTCCGCTTGTCCTTCGTTCGGCCGGCAAGGTCAACGTTGCATCTGCAGTAATTAATGAGTAACGCACTTCACTGCATAACAGTTAAATCTTTTAACCCTATTAGAATTATGTTGTTTCTAGTGAATTACTGTTCATTTCCTGAATTCTTTGTTTGTAAATTTAGTCTAGTAGTCACGGCTGATGCAAAACTAAAGGAGCTAGTGAAAAAACGTGCCACTTTTAAAGCAAAACTGACTCAATTTGTGAACGTTTTCAATGTATAAAAAGCTGTGCGAAATTAAGTGAATTGCAGGCATCCGAATTGAGAGTGTCGTTTAAGTGGAATTGAAGCGTTATATAGTGATATAAAGTCTTTAGCTACAGAAAAAGTATTTGAATGTTGCGGTATCTCATTGTCTGGTGAAAAATTGTTAGTTCTTTGTATATATCGGACTCCTGAAAGTGATATTAGCATCGTTTTTGAAAAATTATTATTAAAAGTCAGCTACAAAAATAATTTAAAGACTGTAATTTGTAGTGATTTTAATATAGATCTCCTGCCAAATGCAATAAAACATACGATAGCTTATCAGTTTGATGAAATATTAGGCTTTAATATTTTCGAGCCGACAAGAATAACTAAGGCAGCTAAAACTTGTATAGATAATATTTTATGTAATTTTAAAGGTGGAATTCCTATAATATGTCGACTAAATTTTTCAAACCACACCGGTAAATCATTATCTATCCCTTTAAAACGAAGGCATAATGTAAAATTCTGGTTTACATACCGAAGAGACTATTCTAAAGACAATATTTATAAATTCAAGAAATCCTTGAAAATCATTTCTTTCTTAGAGGTAATCTCAGAACAAGTTAATGTAAACATAGCCTAAAACAGCTTTATATATACATATAAACTAGTTTTTGACTCGTGTTTTCCTAAAATTAGAATAAAAATGTCACAAAACAACAAGAACAGATGGCTCACAAAAGGTACAAAGGTGTCCAGTAAAGTAAAAAAAAAAACACTTATAGTATATAAATACGAAGGGAAAAAAATCTTAAGACAAAGTATTTAAAACATGCGTCAATACTGTAGACTTATAGTGTTCGATAAAAAAAAGCAAATCAACGATTAATGGAAAATGCTAGTAACAAGGCTAAGGCTTGCTACTTGGTCTCTAATAAAAAACTATTCTGGTAATGATGTTATACAAAGGATTATACCAAAGATTGTGGTCAATGATAAAACAATAACAAATAAAAAACTAATGGCTAATTACTTTAATAATCATTTTATAGACTCTGTGGCAAACACGAAAGGATCGCATTCTAATAATATACACAATTACGTAGATCATAATACTTAAACATTTTTTCTTCAACCGGTTACATATCATGAAGTATTTAATGAGGTCAAGTTATTAAAAAAACACAGCATCTGTCGGACCCGATGAAATCTCAACCAAAATAATACGTAATACGTAACAGCCCCTCTCACACATTTTTTTTTTATAGGAGAGGGGGCAAACGAGCATGCGGCTCACCTGATGGTAAGTGACTACCGCCGCCCATGAACAACTGCAACACCAGGGAGGGAATTACAGATGCGTTGCCGGCCTTTTAAAAAGGAGTACGCTCTTTTCTTGAAGGTCCCTAAGTCGTATCGGTCCGGAAAAATCGCTGATGGTAATCTATTCCACAAGAATAAACTTACTTTTTGTTACTGGTGAATGCCCGCAAAGACTAAAGAATACTACTCGTATAATTAAACCATTGTATAAAAATGATGAAATATACAACATGAAAAACTACAGACCAGTTGCACTAATCCCAATTTTCGCAAAATTATTTGAAAAATTTTTCTGGGTTATTAATTTTTTGGATAAATATATTATTGCTAATGAGCAAAATGGTTGAATGACTGCACCATATCAATCAGATGTTAGCATTACACTTTACACAAAATTGTGAAATGGTTAAACCGTAACCAATTAAGTATTGATATGTCAAAAACTCATGTTTTTTTATAGGATAAGGGTGACAAACGAGCACACAGTCCACCTGATGGTAAGTGGTTGCTGTGCCCCATAAACATCTACATCATCATACATTATCGCCCGTGAGGACTAAGATGGAATGCCTCGTTTCCAGTAAAAAGGGTCTCCGGTTCTCTTATTTTGCTACTACCCTGTTTATACATTAAAGAGGTATCTTTATTTGTACGGAAATATGAATACTTATTTGAAACATCGAAAAATCCCAGGAAGCCTTATAAAATAACAAGTTCATTTTATCCGAAAACAGTACAATATACTAAAAGCATTTATGGTAATACCATTAAAATTTACAATAATATTTCTGACTCTTTTTTAAAAATATGAACGATATAAATTTTAAAAAGGTACTGAACACGTGGTTATTAGATAAATGCTTCTACAGCTTACAAGAATTTATAGAAAATAAAGATTAAATAAAGTAATGATATATTTGGTGGTTAGATTTATTATTTAATCATTCCAACTAATTATTAATGAGTACTAAGACAAAATTATATTGAAAAAGCAGCAACATAAGAATCAGTAAACGCAACATCTTGTTCCTTATTAGCCAGGTGTTTGATCCATTGGGATTAGTAATGCCTTGCATATTACTTGTTAAAATTTTTGTAAATTTTAAAATTTTTGTAAATTTTTAAAATTGCTTCAACAAATACTATTTCTTACTTTTTGATGGATAGCGCCGGTACTAAATTTAATATCTGTAAGACATTTTTTATAGAAACTTTGGGCTTTAATAGGAAAAATGATAAAGTTGCCAGAAATTCTACACTTTGATTCTCACGTAGAGAAAATGAACGAGGAAAGAGTGGCAAAGCAAATTTATGTTTCAGAAGTGAACGGCAGAGTCGGGAAGGGACGCCCTAGACGAAGATTTATTGCCCAAATCGGCGATACATTGAAAATGGGCCAGGTTAGAAGTACCCTTAACCGACGAGCGTGTATGTGTAGATACATGGATGTAGAGGAGGCGAGAGAGGTGTGTCAGGATCGCGCCAAATGGAAGTCCGTAGTCTCTGCCTACCCCTCTGGGTGACAGGCGTGAGTGTTTCTGTGTTTTATGTGTAAATTCCAATCTCAAATCCACGGGCATATTTAAATGATATTTGTGCCAAATTACTTTTCTGCCGACTTCCAAAAAGGAGACGGTACTCAATTCGACTGTGTTTTTTTTATGTGTGTTACCTCATAACTTTTTACTGGGTGAACCGATTTCGATGATTCTTTTTTTATTTGAAAGCTGGTACTTCTCGTGTAGTTCCATGTGAATTTGATTAAGGTCAGAC